CATCGAATATACATCCGAAAATTCAGAATAGTCTGATTGCCCTTTACTTTTAACAATTTCTGGTGCATCATATCGAATTGAAATTGATGTTTGTCTATCATTTTTAAACGATGGATCATTTGTACAAGTTAAAGAAAAATTTGTTAGTTTAACTAGATTTCTTTTTGTCTCAAATGGACTCATCTCAAAGACAAGAACATTAGCACAACGTAAATCACCATGTATAATGTCTTGGTCAATAATATAAATCGTAGCATCAATAATTTGTAAGAAAATTATTTTAAGCATCTTTGCAGATGGTTTAAATTGTTGAGTTTGTAACAATTTTAGAAGATTACCATGTGGAGCACGTTCTTGTATTAATATTGTCGATCGACGATCATTTTTTACTAAACCATATGTATGAACAATATGTTTATGAGACCTAAGTTCAAGATAGAATGAAACTTGATGTTCAGCTGTTTCTGTATTTATTACAATTAATATAATCGATGATTTATTCTTTCTTATCCATTCTGCATTATAATATATTTGGCCATATCTACCATATAGTCGATTGTTCATTTTGACATCAATACCGAGTTCATATTGAAACAGTGATCTTTGAAATAAAAATAAAAATTTATATTATTGATAATAACAATAATTTATTGTCTTAGTTTAGTTGTATGCACTCAATGTACTTACTCAAGATCAAGATTCGAGGGTGTGGATGTGGGTGGGTGTGGGTGTAGATGGGTGTGGGGTGTGGGTGTAGGTGTGGGTGTGGGTGGGTGTGGGTGTGGATGTGGGTGGCTGGGTGTGGATGTGGGTGTGGGTGTGAGTGTCTGGGTGTGGGTGTGGGGTAGGTGTGGGGTGTGGGTGGAGTGTGGGTGTGGGTGTGGGTGTGGGAGTGGTGTGTGGGTGTGGGTGGGTGTGGGGGGTGTGGGTGTGGGTGGATGTGGGTGGGTGTGGGGTGTGGATGTGGGTGTGGATGTGGGTGTGAGTGTGAGTGTGTGAGTATGGGTGTGAGTGTGTGAGTGTGGGTGTGAATGTGGGGTGTGGGTGTGGATGTGGGTATGGGTGTGAATCAGTCTGTATCAAGAGTATCACTCACACTCAACCTCACACCCACACCCTAGATGATGAACCTCTCTTCCAAAAAGAGAAAGAATATTTCTTTCGAGCTTCGTTCTATCGATCATGTTCATTATCTCGTGTGTTTGCAAGAAATGACAGACGTGCTACTGTTTTTTTCTTTTTCGTATCTTATCTAACGTTTACAATAATAGTTGACATTAATGAGAGAAATAATTTGAATTAAGAAATTTAGTTCAAAAAAAAGTTTTGTTTTCTAATCGTATTGACAAAAGAAAAGGAATGGTTGTTTTACTTTTGAATCATCAAAAACTAAGTTGACAAGAAATACAAAATATATTTTTAGGCAATGACTCAAATCTAAAATATATGCTTTAAAATAAGTGTATCTCATAGATGAATTTTTCTACTGAGCATGTACCTATGAATGAGAACGAATAAGACGAAAAGAAGAAAAGTTTAAAAAAATGGATCGTTCCGAGCAAAATAGAAAAAAGGAAAGGTTCTTGCTGAAGAGACTATTTAAAGAGAAAATGTAGTTGGAGACTTGATTCTACACCTCCAAGATAATTTATACTGCCAGCTCAGCTTTTGATGGTTTTTCTAAAAATGTATTTTTTATTGTCTGTATAAGATAAAAATTTTCGAGAGGGTCATATTAAAAAAGAAACTGTATGATCAGAAGGTTTGATAAAACAGCAATATGTAAGGCTTTTGCCAAAATAATTTCAATCAAATCTTCTGTAAACGTTAATTAAGAATTTTCTTTACAAAATGAATAAAAAAACGATCTTTCACTTATTCCAAACACCATATTTTTCTTTATTATACTTGTTCTTCTTTATCAAGTCGTTTCACAAGCACGTGTACCGAACACGTGCTAGTGAGGTAATTTGATGAAGTGAAGTGAACATGATTGAAAAAAAAATGATGTTTCGAGTGATTCAAAGATCTTTGTTCGGTTTTTGTAAAATCAATTCTTAAAAAAGTTAAGTGACAATTTAGAATACATTTCAACCACAGTTTTGTTTATTATTTAGGTTAATCAGTCTTTCTAATTATTATTATTTTTTGATCAGATCAAAATACAAAATTTTGAACCATATCAATTAATAGAAAATAAAGGGGAATTGTTTCTACGTATTTTAACCGAATACCATCAAGCTTTTTTGTTTTCATATAATAAAAACATGAATAAAATGAAACTTTTAAGTTAAGTGAAGTCTAAAGTGATTAAGAGAATACCTGATACTATAGCTATGTGCTCAGTTTCTGAATTTTAAAACTTATTTATACTCTACCGAAACATAAATTATTTATTGTCGAATTTAGTTTCAATAGATTTATTTGATTTATCATTTTTAAGAACGCTTCAAACTCTGGTCTCCTCTTATTATCCATGTGGACAATCAGGGGCTGCGCGAAGAGCATGAAGCAGGGGTGGGGGGGTATTTTCAAAAATCGAGGAAAATGTGAAAAATGGAGAAAAGTACGTCTGAAACTTTTAAGGAATGAAACAAAGTTGTCCTCAGTTGTTCAAAACTGGAAGTAATGCCTATGTTCAGTAGTGGAAAATATGGGGACGATTTTTTCGAAAATTTTTCAAAAACTTCTATAAATTATCAAAATATTGAAAACAGATTGAGGAATTTTTTTAAAATTTTTGACGACTTTTGACGTTTTTTGGAAATTTTTGAAGGATTTTAGAAAATTTTTCGAAAATTATTATAAAATTTTTTACAATTTCCTAAAAATTTCTAAATAACATCGAGCAGAAAATGACAAAATTTCTGAAGATTGGGGACGGGGTACCTCTCCGTCCCCTCCTCGTTCGCGGTGGCTGTGACTATTACAAATGTTCCGCTGATGTATATATTATTCAATAAAATAGGAACTGGGTAGTTTTGTAGAATGACAAAGCACAAACATTGTACTTGGGTTATATTCAGCCGCCGAAGGCGGCTAGGCTTTCAACTGAGGTCATAGAATTTGTTCGAAACTTCTCAAAAACCAGAGGAATCTGTTCTCAATTTTTCAAAACCTAGCAGGAGGTACCCAAGTGAGTCCGAAGCGCCTCAAAAATGAGAGAAGGTCAAGGGGGTAAGTGCAGACGCCTAGCACCCAGCACCTGCTCAGCATCTACAGCACCTACCAGCACCTACCAGCACCTACCAGTACCTACCAGCACCTACCAGCACCTACCAGTACCTACCGGCACCTACCAGCACCTACCAGCACCTACAGCACCTGTTCAGCACCTATACCGCATTTCACTATGAGCACCTACGGCACCTTCAGCACCTGCAAACATTGTCTCATTATCTTAAGTACTTAAGACAATAGAATAGTTGTTGAAGATGCTGAAAGTGCCGTAGGTACCGTAGATTCTCACTGTGGAATGCGGTATACGTGCTGAGCAGGTGCTGGGTGCCTGCACTTTCCCCCTTGGAGAAAGTTGTCCTCCGTTTTTCAAAAACGGGGGGGGGGTTACTCTCCCCCACGTCCCCTCACTCGCACTGCTCCTGTGGACAATTTTTCTTTTCGTTCTGGTATATGTGAACATATATATTATTGCAGCTGAGAGAACGAAAGAAAAAATAAAGACAGACAAAAAAACTGTTCTTGCAAGGAATAGTATTTTAAAAAATTTTGCTTGAGACTACACCATACTCCGTGCTTATATGCTAGAGTAATACTCAGTTTTTTGCGCTCTTTCTAACGATACCACTCTTACGAATTAGACTTTTAGTCGATTTTTTCGACCAGTTGATATGTTTCAGGTTTTGCTGAACATTTTTGTAATAGCTGGAAAGAAAAGCTCGATATTATTCGAACTCATGAATGTTACACCGAAATATGTACAAGACAATATAAATGCAAACTTTTTCATGAAACCAACGAAAAAACATCTTGCGGTTGATCTTTTCACCGAAACACGAGGGATTGATCGTTTCAATTAACGAAGCAATCAATAAAGACAAGAATGTCTTCCATAGTCGATCAGATTAAAGTTTTTTGTGATCGTTTTACTCAATTGCTATTTACTTCTTCATCAGTAATGGTTCGCCTTTTGGAAGGTAAAGATCACACGAGTGCATTTTTTTCCATCAAATAAAGGTGTGCAATGACGTTCATAGATATTTTTATTCACTCACCTTTCGTTTCAATCGAGAACCTCTCCAAAAATAGACAATAATTATGTCCTTTTCAGATATCAACACTGTATCTTAACATGTACAGGTAATACATGTTTTAGGTAAAAAATTAAATTGATAAAAATAAATGTGTCTTTTTTTGCTATTTTTAACTCGAAACTATATATAATTGATCATATATGCTTTCGAATATTTCTCGACTATTTAAACGTAATTATTAATAAGACATAACTAAAAAAACATAATGCAGATGGTTCGAATCGAAGAATATCGAAAGAAACGAAGAGAAATAATCTTCAACAGGGTGAGCATCTTTTTTTGTCACAATGTTCATCGAAACGAAAAACCGTTTTTAATTCAAAGAAAGATTTTTTATTTTAATTTTTTTCAATTGAATAATACGAGATCTCAGATTCCTTAGTTCTAAAGTTGAAATTAATATAAAAGACGACTCATAATCTAAACTCTGCACTATGTTCAAGAGATACAGCGTGAGTGAATATAAAATGTCGAAATCTTTGAGATCACTGTTTTTCGTCTACAAAACAGCAGACAAAGCCAGTCATTCCGCTTCTAATGAAGTTATTTTTCTGTAGGTCCTGCATCAGTGCCAAATAATGAGAATTCCACGCTATTCTTTAATTCTTCTCACATTCATCATTGTAATCATGTCCGTCGTTGGTAATTCTATTCGTGACCAACGCCAAGAAGCAGCAGTCACCGATCGAATCGATTGTTATCCAGAAGCTGAAGCAAAATATTCGAATTTTTCAAAAGATGCCTGTCTTGCTCATAATTGTCTCTTCGACGATATGGCAGATTCAAGTGTTATTCAATGTTATCTACGACCTACTTATGGTTATCTATTACAACAAGATGTACAACAAACAGCTACTGGAATACGGTTACGTTTACAACGAAATCAAGCCATAGCAAGTCCATTTCCCGAACCGATTGAAAATATTCTACTCGATGTTCAATACTATACTAACGATATAGTCAGATTCAAATTGTATGATGCTGATAATCCACGATATGAGGTTAGATTGACAAAGAATAGTTATCGCATTAGATTATTTTTCTATCATTTAGGTTCCAATTTCATTAACAGCCTCGTCCGGTCGAGCACCATCACCACTATATGAATTCATTTATTCAACAGATAACACACGTGACAATCTTTTTTCGTTTAAAATCAGACGTCGTGCTAATTTGACTACTCTATTCGACACATCAATAGGTGGCCTTGTTCTGAATAACCAATTTCTACAAATTGTCACTCGAATTCAATCACCTCATGTTTATGGTTTTGGAGAAAACAATCATGAAACACTTAAACACAATGTTACAGAGCGTAAAATATGGGGTATCTTCGCTCGAGATCAAGGTTAGTCATAAGAAAAAGAGATCTTGATTGTTTTGCAATTTTTCATTCGAATAAAACGAATAAAAAAAAATATGACTTTTTTTAAGCTATAAATTGGAATATGAATGCGAATCACTACGGTACTCATCCTTTTTATCTTGTGATGGAACAAACATCGAACTCGACTCAAGCTCCATCGGGTCAAATGCATGGGGTCCTCTTACTCAATTCGAATGCCATGGATTATTCATTTGGACCGGAACCATCATTGACCATTCGAACCATCGGTGGTATTCTCGATTTTTTCGTTTTTCTTGGTCCTTCAACTGAACAAGTCGTTCAACAATATACATGGCTTGTTGGTCGATCATTTTTACCACCATATTGGGGACTCGGTTTTCAATTGTCTCGATGGGATTATGGGAATCTTACACATATGCAAATGGTGAACAAACGAAATCGAGATGCAGGCATTCCACTTGATGTTCAATATGCTGATATCGACTATATGGATGCAGAAAAAGATTTCACAATCGATCCGATTAATTATCGTGGACTGAAAGAATTCTTTTCTCAAATACGTACTGAAGGAATGAGAACGGTTGTTATATTGGATCCAGGCACGATCGATGATCAAAAGTATTATGCACCAACCATCGAAGGCATCAAAGAAGATGTTTTTATCAAATGGGAAAATGGAACACTAATGAAAGGTACTTGTTGGCCAGGAGAACTCTTTATGCCAGGTAAACCATAATGTCTCAAGAGGAAGACAGCAGTGAAATATAAATGTGTTTTATTTTTAAAAATAGATTTCTTTACGAATCGAACTCGATCATGGTGGTCACGTTGGATCAAAGACTTTCATCGTATCAACTTGACCGTTGATGGGCTTTGGATCGATATGAATGAACCAGGTAAGTATTCTTCACATGATATTCTATATAAATTGGAGATTATTTTGTACAGCATTGTTCAATACGAATGATGATTTTGCTTGGAATTGGAATATGACTGGCACAAATTATACGTTGAAATGTCCGCAAAGCAAGTTGGACGATCCACCTTATCGTACTAAGGCTGCATTTCGTTATGATGAAACGATGAATCGAACTGGACGTCTTTCTGATCGCACACTGTGCATGACCGCTCTACAGGGTGAGATCGATCCCGGTACTGGCACACCCAAATATCGTCATTATGATGTACACAGGTATTGATTTGATTGGATTCCTTTGTGTTTCCAAGAATATATTCTTGCTCTTTCTAGCCTCTATGGATGGTCTCAAACGAAGCCTACATTAGATGCCATACAATCAGCTACTGGTAAACGAAGTATGGTATTACCTCGATCGACTTTTGTCGGTTCGGGTCAATGGGGTGGCCATTGGCTAGGTGATAATGAAGCATCATGGTTTGAAATGAAACAATCATTGATTGGAATGATAGAATTCAATTGGTTTGGTATTCCATTCAATGGTGCAGATATATGTGGCTTTGACAAATCACCTACTGAAGAGATGTGTATTCGGTAAGAGAAAGAAATCTAAACAAAATATCTTGCTCTATTTTTGACAATTTTGTTCATCATTTAGATGGATGCAAGTCGGGGCTTTCTATCCATTCTCTCGAAATGTAAGCTCATGTTATCATTTTCGATGACCATAATTTTGATTTTATTGACTATCTAGCACAATATTTGGAAGACACCTGATCAAGATCCAGCTGCATGGTCTCCGTCAGCTACAGCAATTATGGCTTCAGCTCTTCGCATTCGTTATACTCTTCTTCCTTACTATTATACACTCTTCTACAAAGCTCATACTCAAGGTTCAACAGTGATTCGTCCATTATTCCATGAATATCCCACAGATAAAAACACACTCGATATTTTCCTACAATTTCTCGTCGGACAGAACATCATGTTGGCACCAGTAACTGATGATGGTGCTCGACAAGTTCAAGCGTATATACCTTCGTCTGATTGGTACGATTACTATACAGGTGTTCGGATGTCGCCTGAAAAGCAATTTATCACATTGGATGCACCATTAAATATGATTCCGATTTTTCTGCGAGGTGGTGCAATCATTCCTACTCAAGAGCCAGCAAATAATACAAAATATTCTCGGTGAGTAGAGAGACAATTGTCTGTCACCTTCATGGATTTTTCATTGTAATACTAGAGAGAAATCATTTGGTCTAATCATTGTATTGAATGCCAATGGAAATGCCGAAGGTGAATTATTCTATGATGATGGCGAATCGATTGATACGATCGGATCGAAATCCTATTATTATGCAACGTTCCAATGGTCTTCACAAGATCAACAATTGAAGATCAATGTTGTGGAAAACAACTATGCTCACATGTCAAACTTAACACTAGATTCACTAGCAATATATGGATTTGATTATACGCCAGCAACTTTTATTGTTGATGGCAAACAAATGCTCTCGAATACTACATTTTCGAAGCAAATTGCCAATGTCACAGGACTAAAGCTGCAAATGGATAAAAACCACACGTTATCGTAGGTGTGCATGGATCAGACAAGTAGTAGCAAATACTGCGAACAAATTGCGCCACCTGAAAACTTTGGTCTTGGACTTTTCAGAAGCATTAACGCTTTTCTGTTGTTCATATCTCTTTGCTGTTCACTGCTTAGATGAAAGATGATAATGAAGAGGTTAAATGTGTTAATCTGAGAATACTCAAGCGTCTTATTTCGTCATTGTTTATTTGTAAAAGACTTATATTTAATTGAGCAATAAAATAATTGAAATGAGCAATAATGAAATTTAGCAATAAATATACTGAATGAGCAATAATTATATTGGATGAGCGATAAATATACAGAATCAGCAATAATATATTTAAATTAATGGCAAATTTTATATAAAAAGGGGCAATATGCATTCATTTTGTTACGGCACATTCCAAAGATATGCCATAAGTGAGAATTGTGTTATACTATACATGTGTGTTTTCAGTCTCTTCCTTTCTATGCATATGTATCTGCGCCTTTCGTTCTCTTTCTTTCTGTCAGATAGTGAGTTGCACTGGATTTT